TCTTTCAGACTCTCACGCAAGAAATCTTACGGCAAATCTATATTCCATTCTGAACTTAAAATTAGCTGCATCAAAAATGTTATGGCAGTTTGCAAACCCTACAGACTATTTACAAGGTAATACAACTTACATACATGTAAATGTGTGTGCAGAACAGAGAACAGATCGAAAATCTCACTCCATGCAGCTGACCAAAGTTGCCAACCCTGCATTTTATTTTAAATGAGAAGTAAAATGCAGTTTTCGAATGAAGCAGCTTATCATTCCTTTGCTTTGTTACTTGGACAAATACAAAACAAATGATTAAACATTATACGTATCTCTTTTTGTAGTTTTCTAAATAAGACCCATACCCAACTGTAATAGTGATTAAAGCAATCTATTCTTTTAGTATTTTAGTATTTATGTTAAAGCTTTTATTTTATTACTGTTGTGGGATTCATCTTTGGAAAAAATAAAATTTAATAAGCACAAAAACATATGACATAAACACGACTGTATTGTGGGCTTTACGGTTTTTTTGGGGGTCACCAACTCCGCTGCTGTGAGAGTTACTGTCTGTCTCGTTGTTTTGATGGGTTAGCGGTATACTAATGCTATTGCCTAAAAACCAAAGGTTTGATACACTGAAGTATATTGCAGCTGGTGTTTAAAAGGAGCTTGCCGGTTCTATTGATGATAGGACCTTTCTGAAACAATCTCGGACCATGAAATAGGAAGGTAATTCACTTATAGCTCAGTAGCTGTTTATGGGTCTATACGCCTTCTTGGGCCACTTCTGATTGGTGAACATGACTGGCACACGAGAAGCACGGCGCTTGTAATTGGTGAGAATGACTGTCACACAGGGAACATGCCATGAATTTGTAAAACTATTCTCACAGCAGTTTTAAACCCTGGGTCCGACTTGCTGTATAATGTATATCCTAAATCGCAGCTTTTACCCCAGGGTTCAAATTTAGTTCCATTATTATTCTTAATTTATATAAACAATATTGACACTAACATATACAGAAAACTAGCAGGTTCTGAGTTATCAATAGAACCCCAAACTAATTAAAGACTGGGGTGATAAATGGCAGATGAAATTTTAATGGAGATGAATGTAAGGTAATCCATGCAAGGAGCAGAAATATAAAGTACAGATGTTTTATGGGTTCAACTGAAATTAAGGAAGCTGGCTGTGTATATTGACACTTCCATGTCTTACTCTCACCAATGTGGGGAAGCAGTTAAAAAGTCCAATAGGATGTTGGGTTACATCTCTAGGTGTGTGGAGTTTAAGTCAAGGGAGGTGATGCTAAGATTATGCAATTCCTTGGTAAGACCCCACCTAGAATATTGTGTGCAGGTGTGGTCACCATACCTTAAAAATGACATTGCTGCCTTAGAAAGGGATCAACGTAGGGCTACAAGAATGATTCCTGGGCGTAGAGCAATGTTTTATGAGGAGAGGTTAGCTGAGTTGAATCTGTTCAGCCGCAAGCAAAGAACAATGAGGGGGGACATGTTCTGGGTATATAAGATTCTAACAGGTCTGGATGCTGTTCAGGCAAATGGCTACTTCAATATTAGTTTAAATAACAGAACTCGTGGCCATAGGTGGAAATTAGCGTGAGAACATTTTAAACTGAATTTGAGAAAGCACTTTACAAAGCATGTAGTTAGAGTATGGAATTGTCTTCTTGCTAGTGTAGCGCAAGCTAAAACCCTGGGTTCCTTTAAATCAACAACTCTGAGCTATTATGTGAGTTCTCCCCAACAAGCTTGATGGGCCGAATGGCCTCCTCTTGTTTGTAAATTTCTTATGTTCTTTGGGATGAATTAGAGCGGAGACTGCTAGCCAGACCTTCTCATCCACCATCAGTGCCTGACCTTACAAATGGTCTCCCGGAAGGATGGTAACACACTCCTAAACCTTGTGGACAGCCTTCCGAGAACAGTTCAAACTGTTATAGCTGCAAAGGGTGGGCCAACTCTATATTAAAACCTATGTATTAAGAATGGGATGTCATTAAAGTTTGTGTGTGTGTAAAGGCAGGTGTCCCAATGCAGTGTATGAAGCCCTCTTGCACTTGCAGGAGTATATTTGGCTTTTAGAGTTCTTTTGGAGTAAAAGTATCGTAAAAAACTTTTAAAGTCATCCTTAGCCTCCAATGCAGTCTTCCTTTTGACATTGCTCTTAGTGAGTCTAATGTTATTTTTTATCTCAACCTGTAGACTTGGATACCCCTGCTTTATTCTGAAATCATTAATTGTTTTCCATTTGTGGAACACAGCCCTTTTCCTCTTGACTTTATTCTTAATTTCTGTAAACCACTTTGGTTACAGTTTCCTAGATTTAGTTTTGCTGGAAAGAGGTATGAAGTCCTCTTGCACTTGCAATAATGTGCTTTTAAAAAATTCCCATGCCTCTTCAACAGTTTCCTTATCTATTTATAGTTTCAGTTTCATACCATTACAGTTAGCCATCCTAACATTGTATATTTCTGTTTTGGACTTTGCTCTTTGGACAATAAAATTAACCTCCAATTTAACCATGTTATGGTTACTATTGTCAAGTGGATCTCAAACCTCAAATTTTCCAGTCCTATCCTGGTTATTAGAGAAAAGATTGAGAATGATTTTCTTGCCTATCTGGTCCCTATTCTTCTCTATCTTTGTCACTCAACCATGTTCCTGTAATGTAATAAGAGTCTGATGAAATAAACCTCTATCATGAATTTTAAATTCTAATTCAAAATTAGTTTTCAGGTACCCAATATTTAACTTGCCAGGGCAGACAAGTAGCTCCTAAGATGTTTCCCATTTTTATTTTTCAGCTTATTCATACAAACAAACAACAAACACATTTATTTAGGTATAGTGCGTTATCACAACATTATATTGTCTCAAAGCGCTTTACAGCATCCCCACCCAAAGCCCCCAGTGAGTAAGCCATAGGCAACAGTGGCAAGGAAAAACCCCTTAGAAGGAAGAAACCTTGGGAGGGACAAGACTCAAAGGGGCAGCCCATCCTCCAGGGACCGGCAAGGAAAGTCATATCGGAGAGGTGGCTAAGTGTCAAATCACACTATCTAAGTCATAAGATTTGAAACACAACTGGGGAGCAGGGAGGTGATGACAAGCCGGTGCCGATATTCCTTCTGATCGCCAGGCAACCAGTAGTAAGGCAGTGGGGCATACATGGAGGATGACACAGGCAGAACAGCGAGCTGGATGCAAGGACATCATGGGAAGAGGCGACGTCACATGTAGCAGGGTGTGCAGGATATCTTGATAAATTGAGGTCTCCAGGCAGCACACCCCAGGAGGAGTATGGGAAATAAAATGTGCAATTAGTCAAAGTAAGGGAGACTATAGGCAGTGCTAACAGTTAGGTGAGTGCAATATTAAGTGCAATGTGCAAACTCTGGCAGATATAGCTATGGCAGCATAAGTAGGAGGGAGAGGCAAGTGGGAATGCAGTCATGGGGAGTCCCTGAAATGTCAGCACGCCAATTCCACAAAGGATTGTGAAGCTAGAGTGACAGCACTGACAGTTCAATTTATCCTAAGCCAATGGCACCAATCCCCACCCAGCTCTACACCTCACACAATAGGTCTAACTGGGAGTGAGGAGTTAGCTAGAACTAGAACTAGTGTCCCTATAAGCTAAACTAAACAGGTGTGTTTTTAGTCCAGACTTGAATATTGAGAGTGAGCCTGAATACCGCACATTCGGTGGAAAACCATTCCACAGCTGAGGAGCTCTATAGGAGAAAGTTCTGCAGCATGCCGTAGCTCTTTCTACCCTAGGTACTAACAGATATCTTGCGCCTTGAGAACAAAGCAAGCGCAGAGGGTTGTATGAGGTCAGCAGATCACTAAGGTATTCTGGTCCCAGGCCATTCAATGCTTTATAGGTTAAAAGCAGTATTTTATAGTCAATCCGAGACTTAACTGGTAACCAATGAAGGGAGGATAAGACAGGCTGCTGCATTCTGTACCAGCTGAAGTTTATGTAAGGATCCAGACGGGCAACCAGAAAAGTCGGGCATTACAGTAGTCCAGTCTGGAAGTTACAAAGGCATGTATTAATTTTTCTGCATCATGAAGTGAGAGCACCTTCTGAAGCTTGGCTATGTTCCATAGATGATAAAATGCAGTTCTATAATACTTCTTATGTGAGCATCAAAACATAAATCTGAATCAACTAGAAGACCAAGATTTCTAAACACTATTAGGTTGTGTAGGAAGGCCTCCAATGTTGAGGTGGTGAAACTTATTTCTTGCATCCTTGGGACCAATTACCAGTACTTCTGTTTTTTCTGTGTTTAACATAAGGAATTTTTTTGCCATCCAGCACCGGATATCTAATAGATAGTCTTCTAACCGAGAGAGCAGTGATATATCATCAGGGATATACACTCACGTAAAGGATTATTAGGAACACCATACTAATACGGTGTTTGACCCCCTTTCGCCTTCAGAACTGCCTTAATTCTACGTGGCATTGATTCAACAAGGTGCTGAAAGCATTCTTTAGAAATGTTGGCCCATATTGATAGGATAGCATCTTGCAGTTGATGGAGATTTGTGGGATGCACATCCAGGGCACAAAGCTCCCGTTCCACCACATCCCAAAGATGCTCTATTAGGTTGAGATCTGGTGACTGTGGGGGGCATTTTAGTACAGTGAACTCATTGTCATGTTCAAGAAACCAATTTGAAATGATTCGAGCTTTGTGACATGGTGCATTATCCTGCTGGAAGTAGCCATCAGAGGATGGGTACATGGTGGTCATAAAGGGATGGACATGGTCAGAAACAATGCTCAGGTAGGCTGTGGCATTTAAACGATGCCCAATTGGCACTAAGGGGCCTAAAGTGTGCCAAGAAAACATCCCCCACACCATTACACCACCACCAGCCTGCACAGTGGTAACAAGGCATGATGGATCCATGTTCTCATTCTGTTTACGCCAAATTCTGACTCTACCATTTGAATGTCTCAACAGAAATCGAGACTCATCAGACCAGGTAACTTTTTTCCAGTCTTCAACTGTCCAATTTTGGTGAGCTCGTGCAAATTGTAGCCTCTTTTTCCTATTTGTAGTGGAGATGAGTGGTACCCGGTGGGGTCTTCTGCTGTTGTAGCCCATCCGCCTCAAGGTTGTGCGTGTTGTGGCTTCACAAATGCTTTGCTGCATACCTCGGTTGTAACGAGTGGTTATTTCAGTCAAAGTTGCTCTTCTATCAGCTTGAATCAGTCGGCCCATTCTCCTCTGACCTCTAGCATCAACAAGGCATTTTCGCCCACAGGACTGCCGCATACTGGATGTTTTTCCCTTTGCACACCATTCTTTGTAAACCCTAGAAATGGTTGTGCGTGAAAATCCCAGTAACTGAGCAGATTTTGAAATACTCAGACCGGCTCGTCTGGCACCAACAACCATGCCACGCTCAAAATTGCTTAAATCACCTTTCTTTCCCATTCTGACATTCAGTTTGGAGTTCAGGAGATTGTCTTGACCAGGACCACACCCCTAAATGCATTGAAGCAACTGCCATGTGATTGGTTGATTAGATAATTGCATTAATGAGAAATTGAACAGGTGTTCCTAATAATCCTTTAGGTGAGTGTATATATATGATCATTTCCGCTCCTCGCTCACGAGGCTGTTGGCTCTGCCCGCTCCTCCGCTCTAATTCGCACTACGCTGCTCCGCTCAACATCGCTCCTCGCTCCACTAAAATTTCCTCCCGCTCCAGTCAAGTGGATCCACGCTTGCTCCAGTTTAAGAGGGACAAATAATCTACATGCCTACCAAATATCACCTTAAACCGAAGCCTTATATCATAAAGAAATATGAGCAACGGCAACATTGTCACTCAGAACAGAAAATTTGTATTCTTAAACAACATATAGGCAACAACGGATAGAATATACAGGCTAAGCATTCACATTTTAAATTCCTCAATTTTTTCTGTTGATGCTGCTGCTGCCTCTCTCTATAAAATAAAATTTCACTGACAGCGTTACGTGAAATAAAAAAATCCTATTAGACCTACTTTGAATGACAAAACTAATTTATTTGATTACCAATATTTACTTTATAGGCTTTTATACTTTTATTTACTTTATAGACTTGATATGCTACAACCATATAAAACTTGCTCACGTTTTGCTCTGACTTCCGCCTGTTCGCGTAGAACACTCTCATGTTTCTGAGAAAAGTGATTCCAAAGTGAATTTTTTGTCACTGAAACAGTTTCACCACATTGTTGTTCTTGCTCTAAATTATTGTCATCTATACGTTTGTTAAGAATAGTACACTTGTATGATCTGTCAGTTTCCTTTCGCAATACTTTGCGGCCCAGTCTATAGTTTGTGTAACGGTCTTGATAATTGTACATATGAATTCTGGGTAGATTTGGGCACGCCTCAGAGTTGTAGTGAGCGGTATCGGAGCGAAATTGGAGTGAGACAGAGCGACCGCTCCAGCCTTAATTTAAAAACCGCTCCGCGCTCTATATATGTATATATATACATTTAGAATTATATGTCATGAATTAGAATTCAAGTAAAATCACATTTACTGGTTTTCACATTTCCATCCAATAATTCTTAATCTTAAAAATTGCACAGTTTAGCAGTTTGGAAGGATTAGATAGGGAGAGGGGGTGGCGAGGCTTCCCGTGGAATATGTTGCTGTTGTTCTGGCCGAATCCTTTCTAGTTTTTTTTTTTTTTTTGCTGCAGGGATGGGCGTGTTTTCGGTACATTGGAGGTATCCCGGTCAATTGGGGATGGACAATATAAACGATGTGGTGTGATCTCCACACCTGACCTCCGACGCTGTCAGCTCTCTCCTAATGACAAGTAAGATACTATCTCATGTACTACTTCTGCTGCGAAAAGAACGAAAGTATATGCTAACAGTGTAAAGACAATCCAGAATTATTTTTTTTAATTAAGAAATTAATAAAATTCTACAACTTTTAGTGCTTTGTTAGGAATTAAAAACTTTTCCTCAAATAAGAAAGCATTCTTCTACTAAGATTTGACAAATATAAATGATTCTTGAATATAATCCTTTGTGCATCCTAATATTTAGTTTATAATGGTACATTTTTAATGAACTAAAATGAATCTAATTTTGGTGTATTAGGTTTTTCATTTTAGCTTGTGATGGCCTCTTCAAGGTGTTTACGCCAGAACAAGCTGTTACTTTTGTCCTCAGTGTCTTACAGGTAGGCTGCTGTTCGGAATATAGATTTGTGAATTACAGAGAATGGAGCTAGAAATTGGAAAAGAGTGGTTGTAGGAATGGTGTTGGGTAATTTATACAATTTTTAAAATAAACTTGCTTACACAAATACCTGTAAATCTCTTCCTGGTGCATTACACACAGTGTTATAAAACAGGGTCTTTCCAGATTAGTTGGGTTTATGGGCAGCTATGTTTAACACCTTACAAGAACTCAGTGCAGTGAATTGTTCAGGAAGGTAGATTAACCCACATAACAACAATTATAAATGTCATTCTTTCACGGGTTGCGTGTATTCTGTGGTACTTAGTGTTGACGTTACCGACATTGGTATGTGTTTCTTAGAATGATACAGCAGAGTGGAACAGAGACCAAGCTTGGAAGGAAGCAAGCTTTGAGGCAGCATGCCAGCAGCTAGCCAGTGAAGCAGTGCGACGTGGCTGTGCAGACAATGTTACAGTCATCCTAGTCTCTATTGATTTCTAAAAGAGTACAGTTTGCAGTTTGTTTCCCAGCCTGTCCAGACCTCTGACATTTCCATTGTCCTGTCCCCAATTCTACCAAAATAATAGTGATGCTTTGGTATTATGTGGAAATAAATGTGCTTTTTTATACATCTTAAACTAAATATGTTTACTTGACTTGTTGTCTTGTAAAAACTGTCCACCATCTGTAAAACATAAAAACATTTTCTGAATAAAACAAAGGACATAAATCTGTTCACTTATTTGGTTTTTGATTCATTTTTCTTATTTTTAGTATTTTTCCCTACTTGTTCTTCATAATAAGTAGAGTAAATAAGTTATAGAAATGACTACAGCAATATTATATGAACCCAATCTCATGTCTTGAGCTGACTGAGAGTATTTTATTTATGAAAAGGGTTGGGTCAATTACCTTATGTAATCCGGTACAGTTATTAGTTACCTGTTTAAAAACGTAATCAGTAACGTACAGTCGTGGCAAAAAGTTTTGAGAATGACACAAGTATTGGTTTCTACAAAGTTTGTAGATCTTTTTGTCAGATGTTTCTGTGATATAATTACAAGCATTTCATAAGTGTCAAAGGCTTTTATTGGCAATTACATTAAGTTTATGCAAAAAGCGTTGAGATAACCAATGATCGAGATAACCGAAAACCAATATGGCAGCAATATATTAACATGTACTTGAAATTTATTTATGTGCGTTAATAACTGAGAATGTACATGCACGGGTTTTTGGTGTTTTTGGCATTTGTTTGACGCGATCGGCATGCTATAAATATGTACATACATGTTGGCTAACAAAAGGCATATGTGCACCAACTAACAGCAGAGATTTACCAGTATACAATGAAAACCACTGTCGTTTCTCGATACAAACCTTTAATTTAGTGCTGTCAAACGATTAAAATTTTTAATCAGATTAATCACAGGGTTGCTGTGGATTAATTTAGATTAATCA